TTTTTTTTTTTTTTTGCTTATTGCTTTTTAAACAACATGAAGCTGCTTGCTTTATTTTTTTCTCAGAAACCATACTATTGTCTATTGACCTAAAATAGAGAGAGAGAGAGAGAGAGAGAGAGCTTATTAAGAAAGACATTGGAGAGATAAAACTCTGTAGTGTCCATATTTTTCATTAAAGCCTCGTATGACTCAAAAACATGGGCTGTGTGTTTATGTGCCCTGTTGTCACCCCTAAACAACTACATCTGAGACAGCCATCCTCTTCCTTCTCTCATTTCTTGTCATGACTGAGTAAACTTACTCCCTTTGTCTTTCACAGAAAAAGTCCAAGAAAATATAGGCTCAGGTTTTATAGAAAAATCAAAACTGATCCAGTCAAAGTAGATTTACAGGAATGTATACTCATCCTCTAAAACCTCATTTTCTTATTTAGAGAAATCATTTTTCTAGGTCCTAGAAAGGTAAATTCCTGGTACACAAAAAGTAGAGGATTGGGAACTAAGCTTTCTTAGCTGACTTAAGAATCTTCTGCAGAATTTCTGTGAAATTCTTAACTATTGACTTACGAAGACTTTATGTCTAAATAGTAACTGCAATGTTTATTTTTTTAAATGGAATATGTTTAAAAAGACTCCAGGAAAACATTTTTAAAGTTATTATTGGATGGGAGGAATATGGGGCGGAGTTGGCCTTAGAGAAATGATAGCAGCATTAGTAAAAAGGATTTTAAAAAGCACATGCTGGGCTCAAGTCAGTATAGCTCCAAAAGACAGGACTGAGCAAGAAGGATCAGAAAGACAAGATGAACGATGTGAAGCTTGCTGTCTTGGGTGGCGAAGGAACAGGCAAATCTGGTGAGTGGTGTTGCATACTGTGGCATGGTGCAGAGTGTAAAACGAGTGAGAAATATATTGACCTAATAGGTAAATATAGCTACATAATTATGTATACTACTTTTCATTAGGAGTTTTCATTTTTATGAGGAAGTAATGCAATTAACTGTATATTTATAGAACTTACAGGCACTTTGAGAAAGATAACCGTTTGAAGTATTAATTTGTAGGAATAACAGTAAATCACTCCATCACCATCCCACCTACTTCTCACTCTAACACACCTGCCCTCACATCCACTAGTGGCCAAACAATGGCCTTGAACTGATTCTTCTGCTTGGAGCCTAAGGGTGGAGAAGAATGCAGGGAGACCTGTGGATTATGTTTTAAATGCAACATTCCTGAGGTGAAAAAACAGGTTGGGCGTGGCTTTGTAGATGCCTGCAGACTGAGCAACAGGTGCCCCTGACTTTGGAAGTCACGGTTTTGTTTTATTTTACTGGATTTTGGTTTTGGTTCCGTTATGATGGTGGTGAGGATGCCATCAATAGAGCTACCTGATCTCAATGAACGATGACAACTGTCCAGACCCAGGAGCTGCAGCAAGATAAACCCACACTAGAGGTCTTTTTTCTGTTTCCTGGGTTTTGAAGTCCCTCTATCCTTGCAAACAACTGTGTGATAAACAAATGTGTGATATTGTCCTTGTTACTATTAGAGCCAGATTTGATCTGGTAAAGAATATAAAGAGATGGTATAGTTCTTGAATCTGAAACTTAATGAGAACTCTGTTTCTGTTACATAAAGTAAGCTGTCTTACCTGTTTGCATTCATGAATTAATTACATAGTGATTTGAATAGGCAGATCACTTTCTAGTCTTTTAATCTTTATGGTTGTACAGTGAAAATCTTGATGACTATTATTTAGACTAGAATTTAATAAAGCTTTAAGGTCTGCATTAATGCTTGGTAATTTTTGAGCTGAAAGATAAAACCTTATGTACATAACTAAGTTATCTGTATCCTAAAACAGAAAAGACCCTAAGTCCAGCCTGTTTGTCTTGTAGCACTTACAGTAAGGTTTCTTACCAAGCGATTCATTGGAGAATATGCTTCTAATTTTGGTAAGTCACCACTTTAGACTTTTTTTTTAACCTTTAAAATTTCATCATTTTAATTAAACCACAATTAAGGTCACTGAAGCATTTTGGTAGAATTTTCCATTTTTGCATTTTTCAGCAACTTATTTATTCAGATTCTGGTTGGAAATATCAAAATAGGTACTTGAATAGAATGTGCTTTTATGATAAAATTTACCCAATTTGATGTTAAGTGAGATGGATTAGGAAGTCAGTTTGTTTCAGTCTAGAATTAGAAGAACATTAAAACTAAGATCCCCTTCTCCTAATATTGTGAGGTGTGTCAGTGTGAATATTTTTGTAAACTATGAAACAGTTTTGAAATTAAATAAACATTTGTTGAAAGATGAAGACATATTAATTATAAAAGCACTAGTAACTACAAAATAAAGCTTGTTTTAATTTATTCCCATGTGAAAATAATGGGAAAATTATACCTTGATTAAAGATCATATCAAAATTATCTAGGTTGCTTATCTAAGTTTCAGAGAAATTCTAAAACAAGTGTCTTAATATAATCTTAGAATAATTTTACTAACTCTGCTCTAAATTTATTTTGTTCAGAATTAGCATGACATATGGGAAATATCAGAGTGAGGCATTAATAAAAAGTGAGGAACTTTGCCAGAGTTTTGAGTATATTTTTGGCTCAGCAATTAATCAATATTAATACTAATATTAATAATCAACATTAGTACTAATTAGTACTAATAACTCACCTGATTTAAGACATGAGGGAAAAGTGATTTTGCTTTATGTTTTTTAAACAAGAACAGCAGAGTATAAAAAAATTATGAGAGTTGGAAGAAAGGGGAATGATTTTGATTTTTTTTGTGCAATAATTCTTACTTAGATTAAGAGGAAGTTATAATTGAAAACATGTTTTCCATAAGAAATAATCTCCTCCACCAAAAAAAGAAAGAAAGCAAACAAGAAAGCCTCCATTCATGAGGTAGCATTATTCCAGAATTTTAGAAACTAACGTTAAGGTATTATATTGTATTACTTTCTACAGGTATTTAACATACTACTTCAATCCATATGACATTGGGAATATTTTAGGGAAAGTGCTTGAAAACTGATTAATGATAGAAGAAATACGTAGAAAAAGAAATTCCTATTGTTTAAATTCTCAGGTGAAAAACCTCTGTCAAAAAAAGTCAATATAACACAAAGAGTCAGGCAGGAGAAGATGTTCCACAATTACAAAACCAAACCAACACAAATAAAACCACACCCAAAAATAACAACAGCAACAACAACAAAAAAAAATCACCTTAATCTTTTATAAGATATAGTTATATAAACAAATGAAGTGTATACATTCCAGGCTGGTACATTTCCATTAAAAAATATATGACTTAGAGACATTTTGAAAAGAGAAACAAATGAGCAAAAAGATCATCACTGCACGAGGAAAAACTGGCAGAAAATGATTCCATCTTGTAAATGAAGACCAGAAGGGGAAATAATAAAATTTTAAAAAGTTAAGAGTTAGTGACACCAGCTGGCAGTTTTTGAATTTTGAGTAGATATGTTTAAACGTCTAGAAGGAACTTGTAGGGTTCACAGTCAGTAGTAACCTATGAAGTTACAAGGAACTGTCTGAAAACGTATTTTAAGGTTTAATGAAACTATAACAAATTTCATTAAATGTAACCTAAAAGGATTTTAAAATGCATCCTTAACCCCTGAAGTCAGCTCTCCAAATCTTGCCATATCTTTTTACCTATGGGTTATGTTGCCAGAATGGGTCATGATTTTTTTGTCAGTGTGCCATTTTGGAGAGAAGTAGGTCTTTTATTAAACTCTGGAGGAACAGTTACAGAAAGGAAGTCTTTTATTCATTAAACAAATATTTATTGAGCACCTACCATGTCCCAGGTATTCTTCTAGATAGAGAGGCTACAGTATTGAACAAAATAGACAAATATCCAAGCCCCCATAAGATTTATATTCTGGAAGGAAGGGTCAATTTAAAAAAAAAAAAAAGTATAAGTTATTTCATATGATGACAACTGCTATAAAGAAAAAGAAAATATCATGGGGGAATGGCACTAATATGGTATGTTAAAATTTAAATTTAAAATAGGGTAGTCAGGGTAGATTTTGCCGAGAAGGTGATATTTGGATAGAGAAATAAAGGTGGTGAAATTGAGCCATGAAGATATCTGGAGGATTACATTCCAGGCAGAAGAAACAATTACCAAAATTCTGAGGGAGGGAATTTCTGAAAAAAGTTGAGGAACGCTATGGAGGATGGTGTAGTTTGTGTGCAAATAATTTGAGAGAGTATAGCCAAAGAAGTCATAGAAGTGATGGGAGATTAAACAAAGAGGGACATTTTCAGGCATTTTAAAGCCTTTGGTTTATCCAAGTGAGATGGGGAGCCATTGGAGAGATTTGATCAGACAAGGGATATGATTTGGTTACAAGGTTCACTTTTTCTCCTGTGTTGAGAATAGACTAGGCACAAGAAGGGAGTTAAGAAGGAGGTAAAACAGAGAGATGAATGAGGAGGTTTTGTAATACTCTAAATAAAAACTAATGATGGCTTGGATCATAGTACTAACAATGGAGATAGATGGAGACAGAAATTGGACACAGAGGTGTAGATACTTACTAAAAGGCTAGGAGAGCAATGTGGCAATAGTTGAAGAGATTGGGGGTTCTAAAGGATTGTTAAGTTAGGAGAAATTCAGCGGTTAATAATGATATAGTAGAGAGGAGCAGTTTATGATGCAGAAGAGAGAGGTGGAATTGATATGGTTATGTCTTTCAGTAGATCAGAGGAAATGGTAACTAGTTCATTATGAATGGATTGGCCTTGGAAACACAGATAATTCGTCCATAGTTGTAAGATGGAAGATAAGTAGATAAGCACAAAAGCATGTAGTTGACTAGATATGGTGGAAAAATTTATTTGTAAGAAATACATATATGTATGAGCAAATATAACATGCATGTATTTGATCACTAACAGTTAAAAAAAGCCACTGTTCTATTCCACTAAAATCTGACCAGTTGAATTTGCAAGACTGTAATACAAATATGAATTTATTTTTTTTAATTCTAGAGTATTTCCATAATGACACTGAATATATGTATATTTTGCAGAATCTATCTATAGTAAGCATTTGTATTTGGAAGGGAAGCAACTGAACCTAGAAATATATGACCCTTGTTCTCAAGTAAGTAAAGCAAAGTATTATTTTATTTTATTTTTTTTCAATCATGATTTGAAGAAGATTGGGTAAGAGTAAATGTAAAGTTGCCAGTCTTAAAACTGAAATGTGTTCTCAATTTTAATTAAAATTTTAAGAGATTATTTTTAATATTATAAACTCCAATATCTATCTATTTTTTGATAAAATGGGTTACCATTAATTAATTGTCTGAAGTGTCAAATACAGGTGGAATATCCCACCAGTTTCAATTTGCTTGATTTATTTTCAGCCAAAGAAAGCAAAATTTTCCCTCACAAGTGAACTGCATTGGGCAGATGGGTTTGTTATTGTGTATGACATCAGTGACAGGTCCTCATTTGCTTTTGCAAAAGCACTGGTCTACAGAATTCGGGAGCCACAAACTAGTCATTGTAAAAGGTAAGATATTCTCCATTCCTCTTGCCTTTCCTTTTAGTAAATCATCATAGCTATAAGCATCATTAGGAAGAGTTTAATACAGCCTTCCAATTACAAAATTTAACAGCCCTGAACAATTCACCTTCCATTCCACAGGAGTTACACATGTAGTAAAAGGAATAAGATGAGAATACTTTATATCCTGGCTGACATAAACAGTTACTTGCTCTGAGTAAATGGCTATTTTACAAGACAGCTTCTATTGTTAACATGACACTCACTTGCAAAATGGTTCTCTGTACACAAGATAGTTCACTTTTCAACCTTTTCTTTTCATTCCCACAAAAATGTTAAGGATATTAAATAAATCCAAATTTGTTACATTTGGCATCCAATTCCTTGTCGTTGGGTTGTTCAATCTATCAAAGCAAAATAGACTGAATAATCAAACCATTACGAATTCTAAGTATGAGAATACATTTTTCTCTGTTTCACCTCCTAAAATAAAGAACTGATCAATGATTACCCATTGTTAATTGTCTTGACACAAAGAAACTATGAGGGAAGGCATACCTGCCTTAAACCATTCTTGTATTAGTAGATATACATTTACACATATGAATTTCCCATTTTCTTTATTTTTTTGTTTGAGCCTCTCCCATTTAAAATATTTATTTTTATTTGACATGCTGATATAAAGGATTCTTTGTGCTCGTGATAAGATTTGCCCTTAGAATCCAAAATAACACTTTAATCTGGGAAGCAAGAAGCACAATATTATTACTGAAAATTGGTATATGTGTTTTTATATCTATTTAAATGCCCACAAGAAACCATGGGATAATGATTGATAAATGTTGTTTCCCTGAAGTCAATTGATGTAAATGCTTGTTTATATCTGATTGACCTTAGGTAAACCACTTTAATCTCTAGACCTCATTTTTCTGGTTATAAAACTGATAGAAACATGGTAGGAGAAAAGGATTTGATTTTACCGAGGTAACTTGCAGCTCTGATTTCCTCTCATATTACAGATTTTTGTTTTGAACTTCATTGTTTTAAGCATTAAATGCCTCATATTTAAGCAGCATGACTTAGGTAAGGGATAATAATAAAATTCCTTCACTATTCTTCCAAATCAAAAGAATCACTTAAGAATAGTCAAAACATAAAAATGAAAACACCTATACTTGACATTTTTCAGGCAATCTTCTTAATGTACTAAGTAATTTTTAGAGTATTTCCACTTCTCAATCTGTAGATAGTCTAGGATAGCAAAATATGTTACTGTTTTATAAAATTACATCTGATTATGAGTCACCTTTCAAATTTTTCACTTATCCTTCCCCATTAATCCTTTACAATACTCTTCTGAATTTTATAGAAAAAATATTAATACCCTGAAAAGTCTAACAGACACAGTGCTTTTCCCCTCACCACTCACCCACACCATCATGCAAATGAAACTGACTTTTAGCAGAATCTAAAGACAGTATCTTTATAGATAGAGTTGAAGACTGCATTTATTCATTTCTTCCCTATAGTAGATAACTTGGCAGAGTTCCATGGCATTTATAAGGACTAGTTGTCTTACTCTATCTTTCAAATGAAACCCTGTTTTAGAAATTTGTCTCTGTAACCGAGGAAAAATTATTGATATTTGTTGAAGACATTATCATAACAAAAAAATGTTTTTCTTAAAAAAAATTATTTATATTGAGAGACAGGGAGGGCGAGGCAAGGGGAGAGGGAAAAAGAGAATATTAAGCAGGCTCTGTGCTGCCAGTACAGAGCCCGGTGCGGGACTCACTCCCACAAACCGTGAGATCATGACCTGAGCCAAAATCAAGAGCTGGATGCTTAACCGACTGAGCCACCCAGGAGCTCTAGAAACATATTTCTTAAATAAATAGAAAATTGCACAAGGTCATGAGATTATAACATTTATCTCTAGACTATGGTATAATGGGTAATAACAAAGAACAAACAACAATGAGTATTGAGTAATATTTTTCCCTAGGAAAATTATATCTAAATTGTTCAATTATAGTAGCTATTCAGTAAAAACACATTAGTTAGTCTTTCTCTTTCAATTGATAAGGAAATGAAAAATAATACTTCGTAAGCATCTTTTGCTGACTGTGCTAGGTATTTTTATGTACATCATTTAATTAAATCTCCATGAGAATTCTATGTAACACGTGCTATTTCACGATTGTTTTACATATAGGATAATGGAACTTGGAAAATTAATAATCATGCCTTGTTGGTAAACAGAGCCATTATTCAAGAATAGGTTTGTATCAATGCAAATCCTATGCTTTAATAGTCTTGTTACTTCTGTGTCACATACCACATTCTATAATTTTTGTAAATAATTGGGGATTTGTGTCGTACACTTACATATGACCATAAGAAGCACATATACACACACAATAATTTTTTTGTCCTTAATTCATTTTATATAAACCTACTAATGCAAAAAAAAAGAGATGTAAAATAATTTTGCCAAAGTTGTCCTCTACATTTCAGAGCTGTGGAATCAGCGGTGCTTCTGGTTGGTAACAAGCAAGATCTCTGTCACGTGCGAGAGGTTGGCTGGGAAGAAGGGCAAAAGCTGGCATTGGATAACCGCTGCCAATTCTGTGAATTATCTGCAGCAGAGCAGTGTCTGGAGGTAGAGATGATGTTTATCAGAATTATCAAGGACATCCTGACAAACTTCAAACTCAAAGAAAAGAGAAGACCCAGTGGATCTAAATCAATGGCTAAACTGATCAATAATGTATTTGGAAAGAGACGGAAATCTGTTTAGCAGACATGTAATCCTAGGGGATTTATTATATCAGAGAGTTTTAAATATCCACATGATAATGAAATTTGCCCTTTGTATGCATTAAAAAAATAGTTCTCTTAGAGATATGAACTGACTGAACATAAACCACAGCTGTGTTTTCAAATATATAGCTTGCCGTTTGGTTGTTTGTATCTTGTACACTCATGCTTCACACCCAGGCTTTTCCTTATTACACAAAATGGCACTCGCTATAACTTACCAATGCATTGCTGTATAGTTTGCTTGTATAACTGCTTAATGATTTTATTAAACTACCTCCACAGGCCTCAGATTACTTTTATTATATTTATTTCTTTGAAAGAAATATGTAGTTATAGTTCATCAATTTGGTAGAAATGCATGAATTTAATTTTTAAAGTGTCTTTCCAGTAACTCAGTGAGTTCTTGATATCGTTTACATCTTGATATTACTTATTGCTCATACTGCTTATTTCACTTATAATTTAGACCTTAAGAAGTTGAATTCTCTGCCTGTAAGTATAGTTTGTATTTGGTCTGATAATGAAAAATTCTGCCTTTCATGTATTCCATATAAGAAGGGTAGTTAGCACAAATTAAGTTATACAGCTAAGATCCTTTTCATATAAAAAGGATTGGTTGTTTTTAGTTAATAATAGAGATCCATACATCACAGGGGAAAAGTAAAAGCTGGTTGGCACACATATAACCTTGAAGACCTTATTGCCTTGAAAGAAATATTGTATTAGACAAACATTTTGGGCCTTCTCAGATTTCTCTGAGTGCAGTTTCCTTCAGAAATCAACTGTTTACCCTCTGTACTTCAGTGCCCCTGCCGCTGACCTCGCTGCCTTTTAAGTTGGGGCCCTCGGCCTACCTTCAGCCAAATCACTGATAATTAAGGTTACATCTCCCAGAAATTAAACTGGGAGTGCAAGCAGTGCTACGTACCCCAGTTAACATGTATCAGCGAGAATCTGGGGGTGAAGCTGGAAGAAGATCTTGAGTAGAGGTTGGTAGGCAAGTGGGGGACCAGTAACACAGAACGTTAGTCTGCATAGGAGAGAATTCATTGACTTGGTGTTACTCACCATGAACTGTGATTCCACATTATAGGAGGGACATCTAGAACTCATCAATGTAGTTTTGCTGTTCCTTAGAAGTCTGGCCTTGATGATAGACTGGAGTAAAAGTAGTGGAAATAATAGAACATTGTGTGGTAGAATACAAAATAGTTCAGAACATTCATAAAGGTAGGGAAGTTAGAATTGATATGGTAGGTTTGCCCAGGAACCCACCATGTAATGGTGGTGCTTGGGACAATTCAGAGGAATTTCCTTTACTAAGAAAGTGAGGAATGCACTGGTGAGGGGACACAGACAATTTTGAGAAGCTTAATACTGACTGTGCTCTATAGGTCAGAGTCGGCAGTAGGAATGTTGTCATCAAACTGTGCTGCTTGAAAGAATCCTGGAACAGCAGAATCTGGATGCCAGCATTTTTAAGTTTATGTATTTATTTTTAGAGAGATAGGGTGGGAGTTGGGAAGGGGCAGAGAGAGGAGGGGAGGGAGAACCCAAAGTAGGCTCCAAGTTGTGTGCACACAGCCTGACTGGGGTCAAACTCACGAACCCACGAGATTATGAACTGAGCCGAAATTAAGAGCTGGGCGCTTAACCAACTAACCCACTCAGGTGCCCCTGGATACCAGTGTTTAACTTGTTTCCTGTTACCCACCCACTCAGCCCACAAAGAAACAGTGCTATATCCAGGGCAGAGGTTCCATTTCTAATAGTGGCTGGTTGGAAACTTAGAAGTGACATATTCAATCAGTTATATTGAGGCAAAGTCCACATTATAAGCCCATGCATTGCTTCCATCCATGCCACTATGACCACTGTTATCCTGGATCGTTGTTGTAAGCACAAAGATGGCCAAGAGGCAGGTTGATATCTGCAGGACAGGTCATCCTGTCCCTCTGGTTGTAAAGTGACTTCTCCTTGGTGGATGCTCTCTGATGGGCATAAACATGATACACAAAGATATGACTATTTTATGTTCTAAGAGATCCATTCACACATTTTTTTCTCTGGTCCTTTTTGTCATCGTCACCCAGTTTTTTTTCGTGCTGATCTCTAGCCAACTGGCAAAACCACTGATTGCTGCCTAGAAATCTGTGCCATGGGCCACTTTTCATAACATACAAAAGGTAGACAACATAGTGCACTTCTTGAAACTGGCAAATGGGATAATTTCCTTCTACTAAAGAACTTCATGGTAACCTCTGTGTAATGAGGCACAGTCCTCTTATGGCTGGCACTAATATCTCAAGCTTAGGAAAGCTCTCTATCAACTAGGTACATTCAGATTGGATTGCTATGTAAATGAGAAATAAATTTTATTGTGTAATGTTATTCTAGCAAATTCAATGTTATGCTTTTTTTAGTCAACTGTTTGCAAGGATTTTATTAATATTTTATAGTTTCAATATTGTCTTCATATATATGTACATAGGTAAATATATATATATATATACATATATATTTATATATATATATCAGTTTAACCATTATATTTTAATTTTTTGTTTTATTTTGTTCTAATTATTCTCTTGGATAATTTCCATTTTAGAAATTTGGTCTTAATTCTTTAAAATTATTTTCCCAGTTCAAAAAAGATTCTTTTGGGATAATTTGGTGTGAAAAACAACATGTTAATTTATGTGGTATGCAAGAACTCTAATGTCGATATGGTATGAAAATTCTTTAATAGTTTAATCCATGCATACCTGTCTGTGATGAGTCAGAATTCAAAATTCCTCTGTTAAGGATACAAATATTTGAATATATTTTACAATTTTATTTATTGTACCTTGATTTTTTTGTCAAGATGACTTGGGATGACACATCTTGTTATAAGGAGTCAATGGAACAGAGTAACGCAAACAAATGTTCTTTCACACACGAAAGATAACTGTGAGGTGATAGATAGTTAATTAATGTGATTGCAGTTTGATTGTGGTAATCATTTTACAACATATACATGTGTGTGTGTGTGTGTGTGTGTGTGTGTATATATATATTAAATCATTATGTTGTATACCAAATCTATTACAACTTTATTTTTCAATTTACCAAACCTGGAAAAAAGGGGACCAGGTTGGGAAAGGGGCTTGAGCTTGATCTGTTCCTACATCATCTGTTCTCACCTGTTCCCATCGGCTCCTCCCTGGGATTTAGCTTTGGGAGCCATGAGTCAACATATATGAATCTGGTTGCCCAACATATATGAATCTGGTTGCACAGGGCTGGAGATACCACACAGGATTAGTAACCACACAGCCACTCAATATATGAGCGTATCCAGCCTCTACCCTTGGACTAACTGATGCCAAGTAGAGCAGAGACGAGTTAGCCCACAGAATCTTGCCCCAATTGCAGATTCGTGAGCGTAATTGCCATTGTTGGGGGCTATTAAACCATTGTTTTGGGGTTATGTGATAATAGGTAACCAGAATAGATAACTTATTCAAACTCTTGGCAGTTCAGACAATACAAAATATTTGGCTTTCTTATCGGGGAAAAATGTGAAAAAAAGAACAAACCCGCTTTAAGCCACTTCAAAACAGTCTAGAACCTGAAGTTGTCGCAATATCAGTTTTCTTGTGAATGTAATTCACACGTAAAGCAACTTGCAAGAACCTAAAAAGTAATAAATTACAGTTTTCCAAAGTGAGAAAACCACATCTGCTTACAGAGAAACAAATACATCAACATGAGACCATAGAATATTGTAGGTTTAGGATAGCAAGTGTGTCTATAAATCTCAGAGATAGTTAAGCTGTATCACTAGGCTGGGAATTGCCTAAGCTGCTTCTAGTAAAAAAGATGCTGTCATTCACTTTGGATGAGCTTCAGTGAGATAACACATAATGAGGGGCAACAGCTGAGGAAGGGAATGCCAAAAGGGAGGGGCCTTTAAAATGGTTTTGATTTAATACAAGGCATGCACTATTAATAAAGAGGTTGAATGATACCTGTATGTTTTATAGGTTTATAAATTGGCTGTAGTAAAATATTTTACATCTTAGATCACTAGGTATTGTTTCAGCTTATTATGGGAGATATCTATCTAGAGTTGACTGAATTGTATTAATCTGAACCTAGTTTAATGATGCCTTAACATTTTTATGGGGGAATTTAATGTTTGCAATATCCATGTTCCTTATTTGAAAGCGTGACTTATAGGTTTCTCATCTTCCTTAAATTATGAAATCCTTCAGCTAATAAAGGAAAATGATTATAGTTTGCAAAAAAGGCAAAGTCATTTAATAATCCATATAACTGTCTATTGTAGGACTTTGCATAATAATTGTAATTTAGCTATTAAGGATTCTAAAGGCAGTTATCAGTCATACTCTACAATTCTGGGGAATCAGGCAAAGCCCAAATTATTTAAAGTATTTTAAATTCCCAAAGAAAAAAAAAAAGACACACTATAAATTGGAAATATACTTTATAATGACAACATATTATTTCAAAGTAAAGAAGAAGGTCATCATAATTTTCAAATGTATAAACTACCAAGCAGATTGTTTTTTTTTTTCTTTTGGATAGAGATACAATTTAATAATGGGAATGTAAGTTCCTCCAAGGAGGGAATTAGAAGACTCTATAGTACTAGTTGCAATGTGGAATTTTACCAACATTTTAGTAATCCTGGAACCACTAAGGCATGAAGAATTAAGAGAAGAAAACCAGACCATTGAAGAAGAGTAAGATATGAGATTACTTGCCATTATTTGAGAGTATGATCATGAGTTACTGCTGTAGCGTCTAGACCATTCTATAGGACTAAAGATGACTAATATCTAGACACTTGGAAACATTCAAACAGATATTAAGTTAAGCTGGTGTTTTTTCCAGACATAAATTTATTTTCAAGGTAATCAATTATTTAGTTTTGGATGATTTGGGTACAGTTCTACATGTAAACACATC